GGGGGAGCGCCAGGCCGAGGCCGAGGCGGAGGCCGAGGTGCCTGAGGTGGGTGGGAGGAGGTGCGCCCCAGGGTGTGGGTGTGGGTGGGGGCTGGGCGGGGCCCCTGGGGAGGAGGGGAGGGCCTGGGAGGTGGGGGGTCTGGGTCCTGGGGGTGGAACCAGCCTTAGGGTGAAACATGGAGGGCCCCGACGTGGGGACTTGTGGCCCCTGGGGTGCAGGTTAGGGAGCTCTTCGAAGTGGGGGGTGAGGGCCTGAAGAGCCCAAGGACATTGGAGGGGGCGGTTCCCGGGACCCCCAAGAAAACGGAACAGAACCCGCCCTCTTCTGGAGTGGCCTGGCCACAGGCTCCCCCTGCAGCCTGGGGGGGTCCAGCTGGTCACTCCCACCCCGACTGCCAGGGGCAGCCTGACCTCACTTCCTTTGCCTTCTCAGCTCCCCCGACACTAGAGCAAAGCAGCTGAAGAAATTTCCAGCAAGTTCAGATTTCCAACCTCTGCAGGTCCCATTGCATTGGGACCGGGCTTGCCCTCTCCCACCTCAAGTCCTCCTCCTCTGTTTCCCTCCTCCCCTGTCCCCGCGGGCGACTGCCCGGGACCCCCAGCGAGGCCCGTTGTGCAGCCCACTGGGAGGAGGCAGGCGCGCGGCCATGTGCCCCCCGGTCAGCGTGCGCTGTGGGGGAGAGGGCCTCTCCTACCTCCATGCGTCCTGGCTGTACCAGCTTCGGCATGGAGACCAGCTGAGGATCTGCTTTGCTTGCTTCAAGGCTGCCTTCCTGGACCTTAAAGACTGGCTGGAGCTGGAGGGCTGGGAAGACGGAGACTGGGACCCTGAACTGATGGACGACACCGGGGCAGGGTCTGAGCACGAGGGGTCCCCAGGTGTGGGGCTCAGCTGGGGCCAGGGCTCAGGGCAGACTGCCCAGGGAGGTCCCGGGGTCTGGGGGCCTGGGGCCCTGGCCTCGGCCTCGGCCTCAGCAGGGTCAGAGGAGGCGGGCCTGGACTACCACTTTGTGCCCACTGAGCTCGAGCCGCAGGACACAGTGCCCCTGACCCTGGGCCTTGAGGATGCCGACTGGACCCAGGGCCTTCCCTGGAGATTTGGGGGGGTTCTTATCTGCTCTCACTGGCCCAGCCTCCCTCCCCCGTGGCAGGAGTTTCTCAAAGTGGACCTGCCCCCAGGGGAGCCCATGGTGCTGGAACTGAGTGCCAGCTGGGCCATGGACCCCGCTGAGGCCGAGGCCTGCTTATTGGACCTGAAGGTTGTGTCCATGGTGGGCTGCTATGACGCCGTCTACCTGCGGAAGATGACTCCGGGCCGGGCCTCGAGGACCTCGGGGCAGCACTGGAGCCTGCTGCTGGAGCCCGACGAGGTGTGGGTGGTGAGACTCCAGGATGCACCCCAAGAGCCGGACTTGCACAGGTGGAAGCTGAGCATCCTGGAACCCTCCTTCACAGGGTACAGCGTGGAGCTGGTGCCTGCAGACACGGCCCTGCAGAAGAGGGGGTTCACCATTGTCTCGTATTCACCCTGGATCAAAAGGCAGACCGAGGAAGGCGACCCAGCCTCTAGGCCACGGTCTTCCAGTCGAGGGCAGGACCCCAGCACCTCTGAGAACTGGAGGGGTGGGCCCAGGGACCCTGGGGAGAACCTAGCTGTCATGGGAGCCTCGGCCCAGGGGGAGCTGCCCTGTTTCGAGCCCCTCGACCCAGGTCCCCAGAATGGAGGGGACAAGTAGCTGCCATTGTCCTGGTGG